GTATTATTACTTTAGTAATTTTAATTGCAGTTTAATATTAATTTAATATTATTTTAAATAGGTAGCTATAAAGAAAAGCTTTAAAATTATAAGGGGAAAGTAGTTATAATAAATAAGTAGCTAGATATTATAAAAAGATACTGTTTTTTATATTTTAAGATTAAAGCTTAAGATTCTAAAAATAAATTCTAAGTATATTTATATAGATAAGGGAGTAATATATCTAGGCCTCTAGCTAGTTATATAGGCTAGCTAGTAGAGCTGTTTAAATTTCTATTATATTAAGGCCTAATAGCTTTAATAAAATAAGTAGTATTTATAGTATCTTTTTAATATTTATATTAATAAATTTAATATAAATTCTAAAAAAAACTTTATAATTTAAAGCTAACTAAATATTTATAGAGAAATAGAGCTTTAATAATAAGAATTATAGCTTTCTTTATAAAATATTCTTATATATATAATAAAAATTAGAGATAAGCTTTTAAATAGAGTTATAAAAGAGGCTAATTAGGTTTTTTATAGTATAATTTACTATATAAATAAGTGCGTGTAATTTTAGCTAAAAGCTGTAATTATAAAAAAGATTATAGATAGTAATAAGCTATATTAAAGCTTTAAGTATAGCCTTTTAATTAACTATAACTTTAAGAGTTTTCTTTTATCTTACTAATTATTTTATAGTATTTATCTTATTAATTTTAATAAAAGTATCCTAAATAAGATTATTATATTATTTTTTAATTAAATAATTATAGATAACTAACTTAATTTTATAAATTTTAAGTAAATAATATTAAAATATAGTTAAGATAGTAGTAAAATAAGTTAGATCTCTATAATATATATAATAATAAATCTTCTTATTTTTCTAAGAGTAATATATAGATTTTAAGTTCTAAAGCTTATAGATATATATCTAAATATTTACAGTTAACTTATATTTTTAAATCTTATAGCTGCTAATATTAAATAAATCTTATAAAGTAGAATTTAAAAATAAATAAAGCTTAGTAATAAATAAAACTAATTTTATATAGTTAGTAAAATAATTTAAAATAAGAAAGAATAGTTAGAATATTTCCAGGCTGATTATATTATAATATGCCTTTTTATTACTAATATCAAAATAGAAACCTAATAAAAATACCTGGTAATTACACAGCCCCTGAATTAGCTGCAGCTGGATTAATATTCTTCCGGCCTTATTCTATATATATGGAATACGGACGGCCCGTATAGAATATGGAGCATGGAGTATGGAATATTCTATACTCCATTACTTATTCCATACGAGTATGGATAGAAAGCCTGGCCAGGGCCCATATCCTTGCGGCTGTGCCGCAAGACGTACGGGGCTCGTGCGCGCCAGGGACGGGAAATCGTTCCACAGGTCAGGGGCACTTGGGAACTTCTTTCTTTCTTCTTCATCTTTGATGTAAATAGCATCCTGGACTAGATAGCTGGAATCCAGCTACTAGAGGCCGTTTACAGAGCGCGGTTCAAGGTTGCTTGAAATGCAAATGCATTAATGTACAAGCGGAGGAAATCATAAGAAAGGACCAGTGAGGCCTTCACATGAGGCGCGACCGCGATTCAGCGAGAGTGTGCCGTGTCGTCAATGATCTATGGAGATTAGCTGACAAACACCTGAGGCTTGTCCATGACAGCTTTCAGACGGATTGCTTGCATTGCAGTCATATCCCAAAGACCTCCAAATTGAGAAGGAAGATATACCCCGTCAGGGGGTGCATGTTAATTGGTTAGATCTTAGGCCAAGGACAGAACAGTTCTGTCTGAAAAATAGTTTACCTCATGTTCCCGCTGTTTGATCACGGTAGCATTCCGGGTAAGAATGTGGGGAGCCAATCAGATGCACTCCACATTACATTGGATACACAGTGTGTGGGGAGCCAATCAGATGCACTCTACATTACATATGCATACACAATGTGGGGGGATTAGTTGTGGATTGTCGAGGTGTCCCTTAGCACTTATAACTAAGCGTGGACTGAAAGATCATTCGAGGTGTCGAGTCTACAGTTCAATATTCGCTTTTCTTATAATATCCAAAGATCCCTTCCAAAACGAAAAACAAAAGCCCTTACTACTATTGGCTAACGATGCTGGGAGAATTTATTCATCAAGCCTCTCTATATCATTGCTGTACCACTCTTTTATTGGCAGCATTGATCACGCGGCTTCTGTATAACAAATATGGTCACGGTATCAATTCAATTCCAGGTCCGACGCTGGCTTCGTTTACCAATTTATGGAGATTCTTCCTGGTGACCCGCCGCCGACCTGAATTGAAGCATATCGAACTACATCAAAAGTACGGTAGTGTTATTCGCATTGGTCCGAATGTTGTCTCTGTGTCGGATCCAAATGCTGTTAAGATCATCTACGCAATAAACGCGGGATTTGTGAAGGTATTTAATGACATACATAATTCAATAGTTGTCCTCGTGCTTACTAGTCAAATCTTAATAGTCCGACTTCTATACTGTGCAAAAGCCAATCGCGAAAGACGGCACGCCCCTTGAGGGTCTATTCAGCACTACAAACGAGAAATACCACGCAAAGCTGCGAAGAGCCATATCAAGCGCGTACTCCATGAGTACACTGGTCCAATTTGAACCGCTGATGGACTCGACAACAGCCAAATTCCTCGAGCAACTCTCTGAGCGGTATGCGGACCGCCACGGAGCCGACGGAGTTTGTGATCTGGGGGCATGGCTCCAGTATTATGCCTTCGACGTGATCGGCGAACTTACATTCTCGAGACGTCTAGGGTTTGTGGATCAAGGAGCTGATATCGACGGTATAATCCGCGACCTTGAAAAGTTGTTGAATTACTTTGCATCGGTAGTAACTCCCTTTACAGAGCTTGCTGATCGACCAATAATATATGTGCTGACCTAGGGGAATATAAGGTTGGACAGATGCCCATGCTTCATTCCTACCTGCTGCTCAACCCGCTTCGAATCTGGTTGAACCGACTCGGACTGTTTAACCTATCCTCCCCGGTCGTGGCCTTCGCAAGAAAATGCATGGCTGATAGACTCGATCAGAAAGCACGGCACCTAACAATGACAGAGCATAATGAACAAATCGGATCTCAGGACTTCCTCTCACGATTCGCAGACGCGGGGCGAAAGGATCCAGGATTTATGACCAGGGATCGAATCCTAACCATGACGACGACAAATATGTTCGCAGGCTCGGATACAACCGCAATCACCCTGCGGGCTATCTTCTACTATCTGCTCAAAAATCCAGAGTGTATGCAGTGTTTAATGGAAGAACTAGGCCACGAGGAACAAGCTGGACGCTTCAGCAGTGACGATGGACTTCTGTTATGGAACGAAGTACGAGACCTACCGTATCTGGGTGCGGTCATCAAGGAGGCACTGCGGTGTCATCCTCCTGCTGGCCTTGCCTTGGAGCGGGTTACTCCCCCAGGTGGCGTATGGATTAACGGATATTTCCTCCCTGGGGGAACAATCGTCGGTTGCAGCCCATGGACTTTGCATCTCAACGAGTCCATATTCGGCGAATGCCCAGATCTATTCAAGCCCGAAAGATGGCTGGAGGCGTCGGATGCGAGGAAGGTAGAAATGCAAAACGCTTTGTTTAGCTTCGGGGCGGGTTCCCGGACTTGCATCGGGAAGCACATTAGCCTTCTAGAGATGCACAAACTCGTCCCTGCAGTTTTGCGACGGTTTGAGGTACGTATTATGTTCCAAAAGGATCCATTCCATGCTCTAGTAGCGCAAGCTACCCCAGCTGACGCGTTGCATATTAGATCTCATTTACAAACCCAGAAGCACCGTGGAGATTACATAATGCGTGGTTTGTGAAACAGACGGGATTTTCCGTGAGACTGAAGACAAGAAAAGGTATGGTCGCATAAAAATGGTGGTCGGCTGGTAGTTTGAGCGGTATGCAATTCTAGTTTACTAGAGCTCAGCAACCACCATAAATTCTAGCTACAATCTGGCCTATCTATAAGATCTTGTAGCCAATTATGTGGATATCCCTTGCATAGCCGTTTTCAATATTCGGGGTAGGTGGAAGTGAGGGCCAGACAGCATTTATGACGACTTTTGCCGATACGAGCCAAAACAGATGAATCTGAAACCTGGGAATGTCAGGAACCAATGGGGTTTACAGTGGAAAGACTCGTAAGATTGCTCAGTTTGATGCCTGAAGATGTGGGTGGGATGGAGCGCCATAGTGGGGCTATTTAGCGGCTGCGTCACTGCGACTTAAGGCCCTGGACTACTACGTTTGTGCTCGCTTTGTGTGCCATGATGGATTATTGGATAGCTTCCACATAATATCCCAGCCAAGGAACCCCACAAACTCCCCCAGCCATCTCTCTAACATTTGCAAGCCACACACTAACGAAGCCCCGCTGGAGAACCCACAAAGCAGGCCTTGGGTTCAAGAATGCAGAAACAAGACGCCAGGTTTGCGCCATTATTACCCTATCGGCTTTAACCATCATGCTTTCATTGCGAATATACAACCAGAAGACCGCTATTCCAATATGCTCAGGAACATAATATCACCGCGCAACTCGCTCTATGCGTGCAGAAAATGTCAGATTATATGTGTAGTAGCGCCAATGGCTAACATGAAATACGGGCCAGTCTTGCTGCAACCTATCGATTGTATATAGATTGTGGAGCGTAATGTGGCAAGCCACGCGCCCCATCGTCTACAGTTGACGAAAATGGCTGTGATAATGTAGCCGGAGGTGCTAACGTGTCGACTTCTGAGGGCATTGCCCGCACTCGGACCCTAATCTGTTGTGGCCGTGGAGGCAGACTTTGCACTACTATCGTGTCTTGAATCGTAACTTGTACTTGCATCTTGGGTGCTATCTTGAGTGGTATCTCGAATTGTATCCTGAGTCGTATCTGGAAACTGACTAGCCAAGGTATCTTCTGCGTCTCGAGACCAGCCCGTCAATGCCATACCTGTAGTCGTTGTCCCAGCTAGATGTGGCACAGACGATTCCAATAGTATCTCTTGTCGCCGAAGAGGACATATTTTCGACGACCTTCGATAACCAACAGCGTGACACCTTGAACACGTCGGCGCTTGCTTTTTAGGTCGTTCGAATGTGCTTGTTCCAGCTCGGTGCTTGACCGCGCAATCGTTGAACTTTTTTGGATCCTTGGCTCAACTCCAACAGGTTCGAGGATTAGTTGTGGTTGCCCTCCGTTGCGCTTCATATGCCACTGTTGGTGGAAGTCATCTATGTAAAGCCTTGGTTCCTGCCTAGCAGTGACTTGACCTTATGAACACAAGGCAAGCCACATCGTACCACGAGTCGTGGTCTTACGTTTAGGGTCCTTTTCTGTTGAAACTTCACGTGGCCAAAACCCATCACATGCATATGTGACCATCTTCCTGCCAGTGGATTTGGTAGTTGACCTGCGCGCAATAGGCGCGTAGCCTCGCGTTGCAGCCCACGCATTAATTGCTTGCTCCCACCAACTCCTTGCGAGACTGGTATTGAGCTTCTGGAGGGAGACAATCATCAGGAGATGATGCAGCTTCATTAACAGAAGAAGTTTCTGGAAGTGACCCAGTTAAAGTATTCATTGCGCCAGATTAAATTACAGTAATTCTGTATTTGGAGAGATAATTCAATAGAAATATAAGAGAAAAGTGGCGAGAGTCGTTGTTCAGTTCCTCGTGCGGCGAGGCGTTGACGAATATGGCCAATAGGGGTGGCGGGTGGCCCATAAATAGGTTACTGAGACGCCTGGACATCGATTCTGGAACGATGTCTGGGCATCACTCCGGCGGGAGCCTGGCGCAAAGCCCTGCTGAATCATCAGTAATATCACTTCTCTCTTTCGTAATGATTGATAGTGATTGATGCACCATCTTGTAGCCTACTGTCTGGGCTGCCTCCAACACAGCAAGAAATCAGTAATAATTAACTGTGAACGACTACGATGCCAGCAGCTATGATACAGCGGCTAAATTCAGCCGCAGATAGCGAAAGGAATTATCAAGGGATCAAATATCTATCTGTATCAGTGGCGTTCCAAGATTGCAAATAGCAGTTACAGATAGCTAGCTTACGAGTACAAGAAGGTCTCAATTGACCTAGCTAGATAGTTTAGTTCAAGGACGAATCCACTATTCAATTTGACCAGCTAGCACATTGTGATATTAACCGATGCAACACACTTGCCGCCTTGTCGAGTTCTCCTCGTTTCGAACACGTCATAGAATATCCAACTGAAATCCTCTCTCAATCCACCCCGCGCAACCTACACCACATTGGTACTCTCAACTACCGTAGTAGTCGTACCCCCATTTTTGTCATTTGTGATATCATCTTGACCTATGAGACTGCTCGGGCCCAGCTTCGCTCGAATGTTTCCCAAGGCTTCATTCCCCACAGTGGTCTGATAAGTTTGGAATTCTTTGACGCCTACTCGCTTCTCGAAGAGCTCGTCCAGCTCTTCCAGCGACCGATCTCTCGTTTCAGGAACGAAAAAGTAGTAGAATAGAACGTAAATAAAATTGAGGCCAGCCCAGATATAACCGTATTTGGGGCCCTTTGATGCAAAATGAGAATCAGCAACTTGTTAATTGGAATGGTATTAGAAGAGGCACTTACCCAATTCAGGTCCTGAGGGTTAATGAAATATGGAGTGATGAATAAGGTCACCCAGCTCAATACGCAGCCGAAACTAGTTGCAGTACCCACTGTCCATACCCTGAGCCTAGAGCTCACCAGCTCAGTCGCAAGAGTGTAGCTTGTTGAGTTCAGACATCCATTATAAAAGAACATGTAGAGCGCAACGAATGCAACAATGGCATCGCCAACCTCGTTACCTGTAGCCTTCACGGTTCCAGCGATGGCCATAGAGAGAAAGCACAATGCACAAGCCAGGTAACCGACCATGCAAACAACACGCCGACCAGCGAGTTGCCAAATAGCATACATCCCACAGAACACACCTAGTAAACCAAGGCATGTGTTCATGATGGTAAACCGAAATGACTTGGATATGCCAGCGATAGCAAAGAAGTAAGTTTGGAAAGCGATAATAAACCAGCATCCAGAAAAGTTCATGGAGCCAATAACACCATAGCAGAGAAGGGTGCGCCGGAGGTTTGCTCCTATGCGCTGTTAGCAGTGTGTTCGTGTACTGTACAGCACTTTTACGATTTGAGTCATAGCATTGGGCAGAGACTTCTCACCTCTGAACATTTCAAGCCCCTCAACGTTCTTTGAAAGACTTTTCTCTTCCTCTACCCCTGTAATAATTTCCATCCACTCGAAATTCAAACATTCAGGGGCCGCAGAATGTGCCCTTAACACCTCCCATGACAATCTTGCTTGCTGTTCTTTCCCCCTATGGAGGAGCCACCGAGGGGACTCCGGAACAAAAAAGAGCCCTGCACTGAGAAGTAAAGGCACAATACAGAGACAAGCAATCGGAATTTGATAGGAACTTTTACCCATCCTGTCCTTTGTGTAATTAACCACCACACTTCCAAGGATCTGCCCAATATTCATCCAACAGGCATATAAGGCAACAAGTAGACCTCTCAAGTGAGCGGGAGCCACCTCTGCGATGTAGGAATTCGAAAAGGTGACATAAAACCCGTTTGAGAACCCAAGAAGTAGTCGACCAAAGTACAGAAGTCCTTTGCTGCTTGTTCCAGCTTGGATTCCGCATGCAGCAAAGTTGATCAGACAAGCAAGCCACAGGCCACGCTTGTGGCCGAGGAAGGTACCAAAAAGGCCAGCCACTAGAGAAGCTATAAAAGCCCCCAAGACGAATGCGGAAATAATTAGTTGTTGGACGGTACTCTGTATTGGTCTCTATAAGTTTTGGCAAGTAGCAACCAGGAGAGAGTACAAACCGTAATATTATATCCGATTGGGCTCTCCGGGTCTTCATACCCGAACACTTTCAAAAATCCAGGCATTGCTTGGAGCCCGGCAATGGCAGCACTGTCAAAGCCATATTGCATATTAGCTATTGCGACAATGCAACAAGCGATCAAACATTTTTGTTTGGCCCAGGTGGAAGTCTGAGTGCGATTGATAGTTGAATCAGCCATGACTGGAGTATTGGATGACATCGAGCGATGAACATAAGATTCTTGGGCGCTTGAGACTAGTATGCTGTGGACGTATTGTCGAACCTTCTTATTATAATTATTCCAAATGTGGGGCAACCTGCCCCCCGAATCGTGTTTGACCTTGGCGGGTTCTCCATATTTCCCCGATTCCCCGGATTCCCCGGATTCCTGGCCCACATTTCCCCACATTGTCCACATCCCCTACGCTCAACGAAGTCAAATTTCATATACCGCTACTGAGGTCAACATTTTGCACGCCAGAGACTGCGGAACCTATGTATCCGCTTCCGAATCTCCCATGGCTGAGCTTCTTCGACTTCCTCAGGCCCAATGGTATACTTATTATTTCGAACGGCAGCTATAAAATACGTACTTGCACCGTGCAGAAATACATTCATAGGTAGGACAGCTAGGCAGCGCAAGGGGCCTGACCAGAGCTTATTCAACAAGCAGCTGCCATCAGTGATATCAAGGTTATATATAATCAAGGTTGGGCTTCGGCTTGCGGGTCGGGGCATGTTGCTTGGGGGGGGGGAATAAGACAATTAAATAGATCAAAAATCACCACAACGATGCACAAAGTAAAAAGTACATAGATTGATATATAAAATCTTAATTAATAGAATCATATTGAATATTTTACTATCTTCGACAAACTTTTTATTCTTTATGAATTGTTTGTTGCGTATTTTTCGTCCGGCCGTAATACGGCCAAAGCTCCTGTTGGAGCAAAAGACTCACTGAGCTAACTAATATAGGTACGGGGAACCCCGCATCCCCCGCTGGCATGGTACTCTATCAGAGGGCCTGCCATGGAGATTGACCGGACGTTGATCTCCGAACATGGCGTTGAAGACTACCGAGGCAAAACCGAGAAAATACCCCCGATCGACCTTTCTGAGTCTGACTACCAGCTTAACATCGCCACGGTGAGGTATTATCGAGTAATCGCGGATACGCTGTTGTACTGGTTTCGGTTTAGCTGGTTAGTTGGCACGTGGATTTCACAACCAACCGCTGCTCCAAAAGTTTATGCAGTCCATGTTGCCAAAAGTTATCCGTACCCAAATGTTCTCTTCCAAAGAGAAAATCACGAAGAGGCCACATAGCTTGCGGCAAAATCGGGTTATCTTTATTTTCACTTGCACCATTTAAGAATGCAATGGTATCTCCTTCCTCCCACCACGATGTAAGTTGTCGGGCCGAGGCGCGCGACTACCTGAACTTCGTAAAGTGCATATTGAGTGGCGCAGGCTGACGGCATGAATTAACAGTACTTTGCAGAAGAAGAAATGTTGGCACAAAGGGATTGGGCCACGTAATGTGAGTAGTTTCTGGCCTAACCGCAATGAAAAAAAAATACCCCGCCATCTTTCGCCCAATGCTTGCACTGCCGTGCCCTTATCCCGACCCATGGTCAGGATCATACAGGCCATAGAATACGCAGGCAGGACTGGTGCCACTGCGAAAGCTCGGCATCTTACGCAATGAAGTAGAACGCTTAGACCAGATCTGTGGCATTCGAAGCGGAGCTTATCCATTTTCTTCTCGGGCTACTTGCAGGTGAGCATATGACCACGGGAACTCAGGCCGCAGCGCTGCAAGTTAGGGACGGGTGGTCAGACGTGGCCTTTCCTGCCCCGGAGGAAATGTCCGATGACGACTTGATTCGATATCTCTGTGGGCAGAGTTGCCACGGTTAACTGCATCGCAACATGTCCCTCCGTCATTCGTCAATACTGATCCCGTAGCACACCCAGTTTCTAGGTACGTCACCCAAAGAGGCATGGTTAATTTCAGGTTGGGTGATAGGTTTCTATGACAGAGTCAAGAAACTTCCTACGTGGAACTCTCAATTTACCATGAGATTGCCGTTATTAGAAATACGCACGATCACAGGTGTCCTACAAAGACAAATCGAGACAAGAAGCTGATAGATAATGGTCATAAGGAGTAACCCAGGAAGTAGTAGCATGCGGAAGCAGGGACAGGCCAAGGGGTCCTTTGATGAGGTGCGGGGTATAAGGTAGTGGACAAGCTGGATATCTCTCTAGCGCCGATTCATGTTCTGGCGGCCGCTTTGTCAGACATGGGTCATGACACAAGGTATCCTTCTTTCTGCATGATCCACTTGACGGACGGAGCCCCGCGCCTGTTGCAACCACAAAAGTTCTCTGTTATCTTAGAGCACGGATACCTCACTCCAGATCTCTATTCTTCATCCTAAATTATAACATAGGATGGAGGGTTTTGGCGTGGCCGTCGGGGGTCTCGCTGCCATCGAAGCCCTCATCAAGGTCTTTAAACGTTGCTCGGAGCTCATAGAGTACCTAAAAAACGAACATGAAATCTGGCTGGAAGTCTACAACGAGTTCACAGACTTTGGCAAGGTAATAAATATACCTTCACGCCCTCTCATATGTCCGGCACGGTCGACAGCAACCTGACCATATCGTAGTTCCTGGAAGATGCCTCCCGCGTCTACAAACAGCTACATGAACGAGGTCGACTGCCGCAAAACGAGGATGAAGAATGGTCCAAACTCGCCCATCGAGGCGATATGTTGAGAGAGAAGCTAAGAAAAATCCACACCAAGTGGGAGACAACAAAGACAAAAAAAGAATGGCGCGTCGAGATTGCTAGGAAATCAGCCCTATTTTATTTCTCCAAGAGATCACCAATCGACAAGCTCATGCTCAACCTCCAAAGTGTCAAAATGACTATTTTATTACGCCAGCAGCTGTTGACAAATCATCTCCACAGTGAGTTTGACAATGGACACATCATTCAGCAACTCGACGCTATGGATAAGAAGTTATCCAGACTGGAATCCGCTCAGTTCGAGGATGAAGACTCACCTCACAACAACCAACATCTTACTTTGACGAGAACAAATTCTACGAAACAACAGTATGGGCTGCAAGAGGAAGAAAGGTTTCGCTTGTCGGATGCCCTCTCTGTTAACCTCGAGCCGCAGACGGAAAAGAGGTTTAAACAAAGCAAGATACTCAAACTCCGTCGAATATTTTCGAGGAAGGGCAAACGAGGTTTGATGTCGCAATCCGAGAAGTCTTTCTCTAGCATTGTACCGAGTATCGAGTCACATGATGGTATCCCTGATTCGAACGCGTCTGACGGGAATCGGGTGAGCTTTACTGTTACCCAACAGGAGCTTGGAGGGATTCTTGAACTAGTTCGACCGAGTTCGACTCTCCCTCCTTCGCCGAATGAAGACTCTACGGCACACTTCAATGAGGAACGCCCCGAGGCCCAGGTCACTTCACACTCAGAAGAAAAATATGAGATAGAGGATACCTTTGGCCCATTGCCTTTGCTAGCTATAGCCAAAGAAGTATTTGTGCCAGCTGGGTCTCATGATCTAGACATAACAAGGAATGAGGACAAGGGGGAGAACCCAACTCAAGATGGAGAGCGGACCAAAGCAGATTATCATGGCTCCACACGTTATAGGCCGCCATCAGTGGAAGCTGTACAGGAACTCGATAGCTCCCCCGCGAATCCTATGGATGACGCGCC